ATCACAAGGAAACATGGCTCTGTTCATGGCTACACAAAAAGAGTCCAGCATAAGCTACTCCATCATCTCTTCCACCTGAGTTCATCTCTATTTCTCTCGTGGCCCATTTCCTCTTATCTCATCTCTATCTCTCTTCTCATTCAGCTCCAGGAGGATTAGCATTTGTAAGGTTTCCATCATCCAAGAAAAGGGTTAAAAACCTGAGGCTCTGTCTGTCCAGAGCTCCCACAGCTGCCCAGCCGGGCACCTTCTTGCTGCCCCCTCTTCTCCTTCTGGGCCGGCCACTATTAAATTTCAAGGTGGCACAAGCACAGGCACAGGCTCTCTCTCTCCTCTCTCTCTCTGTCTGTCTCTCCTGGAGGGGTGGGGGTGGCTGCCCGATGCCTCTCAGTGCTCCTCCTCCACCCTTCCATCCTGCAGGGGCCTTCCCCTCCCTTCTGTCCAGGGCCCGGCCTACCTCACCCGGCCGCATGGCTGCCCCTGGGCCTACCTCACCCGGCCGCATGGCTGCCCCTGGGCCTACCTCACCCGGCCCCATGGCTGCCCCTGGGCCTACCTCACCCGGCCCCATGGCTGCCCCTGGGCCTACCTCACCCGGCCCCATGGCTGCCCCTGGGCCTACCTCACCCGGCCGCATGGCTGCCCCTGGGCCTACCTCACCCGGCCCCATGGCTGCCCCTGCCTGCCCAGCCCACAGCCAGGCAGGGGAGCTCTGAACCTTTCCCTGACCGGAACCCAAGAGAGCCTCCCAGGGAGAGCCCTGCTTTAACCCCGTGCTCTCAGAGGCGGATCCAATGCCCCAATGGCCACATTAGGTGCCAATATTAAAATCTGAGCACCAATTGGCCTGACCCAACATCCCAGAAAACACATTTCCTGTCAAACCACCACATTTGTTCAGTGGATTGGCACGATATGAAAGTCAGCACTCTACACAGGAGACTGTAAAAATCTTCTTCAAGGAGATTTTTAGTAAATCAAATATATTTGTTTTACACTTGAGACTTAAATTGGCAAATTGTAGATTATCATCATCCTGATAACCCAGGCACAAAAGGCTGGCATAAGAGCAGTCCTTAAGTAGTTTTACTTGTGTTAGAACAAAGAAATGAGGGATTAGTGAAACTGTGAATTAACTATAAAATCTCTGTGTGCCATCAGCACCTGATGTCAAAGTCTATCTCAGAGCAGAATGTGTAATTTTGAAATATGCTTGTTCTAACAAGCATTTTACAGAGATGGACGATCACATTAGTGTTTTTCTTCAAAAATAATTTCCTTTGTCTGACTTCATTTGAATTTTGACCTTTTAAGATTTTTGATGTAAATCCATTTAAGATGCTTCTGAAGGGCTTAAAAGACAATGAGAAGTCAGAAGCCAGAAGCTTTCATATTAAAAATATATGAACTGTTCACAATGGAACAATTAATCCAAACAAAAGCTGTATCTTTAGGGCTAGACAGTCTTCATTGCACAGCAAAGCAAAAATTAGTGGATATTTGAGAAGAAAATCAAATTGGTCTCTGTCTTATGCCTGTGCTGTGTCTTGCCCAGCCATTTCTCACACTGGGGCTTTCAGTGTTGGGCTTCAGAATTATTGTACAGCCAAAATGGCCCAAGTACTACAAAAATTTACATTGATCATCAAAGGAAGTGGTTTTCATGTTTCATCCTCCTATTATTGGCAATAATATTTTAAACTCCCCCCACTGGCCCTTTTCTTACCTTCTTTTATGTGCCATCTGAAGGTAATTTAAGGAGATGGGGAGCAAAGCTTTAGTTCTTTTGAGCTTCAGACCACATCTGATAGAGAGTGGATTCTGTGATTTTGAAACTGACCATATAATGCTTGTAATTTGAAAAGCTACTGACCTCATTTATTTTCAGTCAGTTGAATTTTTTGCATCAACTGGTGGTAGGTCAGGCTTTCATTAATTAGAACTGATGTACATCTCAAGTAGCCTGTAGAAAACACTTAGCCAAAAAAAATCAGTAAAGGTTTTCAGTGTAGCATTTTCATGTTTTTGGTCTGGCAGTAGTTTCAGAGGCTGTGATGTGGTGTGTCCTCACTGGTTGTACCAATGTGACTGCTACCCAGCATGTTGGTACATACAAACTCTGCACCAGGACCTGACTGCATCATTTCACTTGTAAATTTACAGGGAATTGCCTGGGTGATCACTCAAGGTGTTGCAGACAGCAGTTTCATGACCAAGTGGCTCCAGTGACAAGTGGCACTCCTCAGGGGTCAGGCTGGAGCTGGTGCTGTTTAAGATCTTTGTAGATGACAGGGACAGTGGGATTCAAGGTGGAGTACAGTACAGGGGTGATAACTGCCCTGCTCCTGCTGGCCACAGTATTCTGACACCAGTATTCAAGATGCCATTGGCCTTCTTGGCCACCATCAACAGGGAGGTTAACAGGCTGTGGAAGAGGCTTCCCAGAGAAACTGTGCATGCCCCATGCCTGGAAGTGTTCAGGGACAGTTTAGATAGGGCTCTGAGTAACCTGGTCTAGTGAAAGGTGTCCCTGCCCATGGAAGGTGCAGGTTGGAACTTGATGATCTTTAAGGTCCCTTTCAGATCACACCATTCTATGATTCTTTGATTTTTCTTCTGCATTTCAGCTTATGAAGTGATGGGTAGTTGTTCCTCTGCTTCCATCATATATGCTCCCTTCATGTTGGACAAAATTCAAAATTTTCTCTGGTAATAAACTCTATGCTAATTATAAATATGTTCTTCAGCAAAATAATAGGTCCTATATAAACAGTGGTACAGTAGTAGAATTATCACAGTAATAGAGCTTGAACAAATCTCTAGCCTTGAAGAAGTGTTATTTTTTTACCATTCCCAGCACTGCAAGATGCCAGCAAATGCAGATGATTTTGCCTTTACTATGTGTACCATGCTGGTTTACAACTGCAGGATAAGCAAAGCACAGTTTATTACTGCCATGTTTCTATTTAATCTAGTCTCAAGTGCTGTTTTTCCCATTTCATTGCACTGAATCTGCTTTTTTTGCAACACAATTTCCTCTCTGTTAGGGGCAGACAGTGGAGAATAGATGAGTGGCTCAGTCACAGGAGGCTTTGGAGACATCTGGTTTTCCCTTGTATCATTTGTGTTCCAATCTGTCAAAAGCAGGACACAACTGGGGAAAGATGGCAGGGGAAGGAACACACTGACCTGCCTGCAGTTGTGTCTGTGTGAATCAGCATGTTGGTTTGTGCTCATGGAGATGGATGCAGGATAATAAACCAAGTATATCTGTGTTTACAGTTTTGTTTGAGAGAAACCTCTCTGCAGAGCTGCCAATCTGGCTGGGCAGAATGGAGAAATTCATCTCAGCATCAAGATGCTTAAAAGTGCTCATCAACTTGTATTCATTACAAACACCTGCAAATGAAATTTGTGTAACAGCAAAAGAAGCAGAAGTGATGATGTTGAAGCAGTGTGAAACTGAGCACTCCTGTGTCTGCAGTGGGCCAGTCTGTATCCAGGCACAGAGGATGTGTCTTGAGAGGGAGTTCAGCTGATCTGTTTTCTGTGTGTTTTCCACTTCAAGAGTGAAAATGAATCAATGCCCTGGATAAGATGGCCTTTCCAGGGGAACTCAGCAAAGCAGAGCTGAGGAAGGGTGGAAAGGTGCACTGGCAGCACTGGCTGCATTGCCAACCACAAATTAAGGGCTCAGCATTTCTCCACTTGATCAGGTACTGCTCCAGTGCAAAGTGGAACTGTAAATCTTGCAGGTTACTGCCATTAAGGAAACATTAGGGTTTTACCAAGGTTTCAGGTGTGCAGTTTCCCAGTATTTGTAGTGTTAACCTCTCTCTTTTAAATATTTTGGAGCTTTGGATTTCCAGCTGTCCTGAAATTGGGTCTGCAACTTCACCATGATAATGGCTTTAAATGTTGTCCTTTCATCAATGATGACAACAGAAAGATTTCTGCCCCAGGAGTGCTGGGGGGATGCCCATCAGTGCTTGGCACATTGCTGCTCAACTCTGAAGCATGGCAGGGTGCCTGTTACTCCACCATCCACAACTCGTTGCCCACCTATTGCCTGTTGCAGGCATCTTCATTCTGGTTTCCCTACTGTCAAGAGGGTCACGTCCTTCACATAAGTGCTCAACTAATCTGGAAATCATTCCCCAGGCAGATGTTCAGCTCTCTGTGATTTCTTCTTTGCAAGTAAATACCACTTTCTGCATATGAAAGAGTAGTGTCTGCTTAAGTCCTCTCTCCCAAAAGATAGGGTTTTTAATCTCTAGCAATTTAAGTGGTGGCAGCTGAAAAGTTTCACTAGTTACATTTATGAATTGTTCCTTTAAACTAATGTTAATTTGAAAAAATTAGAACAAAAAATAAAGTTGTGAGTGTGCCTTTAAAAAATGTTATATTGTTGGCAGTCACAGGGAAATACCTGATCTTCCTTGAAATATGGAATTCCCACATGGTCCTTGGCATAGAGACATATTTTCTTTCAGTAGCTAATTACAGCACTTCCTTCTCCTAAACTGTTTCACTGTGTGGGAAGGAAAATACAGCCTCTTTTCTTTATAACTTCACTTGACCTTGGCACCCTCCATAGACATTGCTGATTACTCCTGAAGCGTGCCACTTGTTGTTGGTTCAGCAGTGATGTAAGGACTAACTTCCATCTGACCTTAAATCCTTGTGTGCAACATCTTCATCTCAAGTCCTGCTGCTGCAGCTGGTTTTGCACTGTGTGGTATTCCTGTGAATTGGTCTTGATGGCTTTGGGATCACCATTTTTGTAGTAATGACTGGTTGGTTGAAGGAGATCTGTAAATAGGTAAGTGTTTCAACTCAGGATGTTCTGCTGATTACCCTTCCTAAGACCAGGCTTGAGAAAAAATCACGTTTCTTGAACTTTGCTCAAAGACCTTGTACATTGCTTGCCATGTTTATATTGCAATGTCAACTAGTGCCCTGAAAATTCTTTAATAAAAAGGCGTTTTGTTGATTTTCAGGTGTTCAAATGAATCCATATTCAAAAAGGAAGATTTATTTTGGGCATACAATTTCTGCCCCACTCCGTACTCTTGGACAGCACTTCTGGGCCTTATTTTGTATTTGGTTTTCTTTGCACCTGGTAAGAAAATACTTGGTTTTGTTTATAAGTTTAAAATGTCAAATAGTGAAGCTGCATGATAAATTTATTTTTGAGTCCAGCCATTAAAGTCAGATTGATCTTTTTATTCCTTATTCTTAGGGATGGGTCCTATGCCCTGGACTGTCAATTCTGAAATTTATCCACTTTGGGCCAGAAGCACAGGAAACGCGTGTTCTTCTGGGGTCAACTGGGTTTTCAATGTGCTCGTGTCACTGACATTTCTGCATACAGCTGAATACCTGACATACTATGGTAAGTCACAGTACTGTCCATATGTGCAGCACTGCCATTGGCACAGAGGTTTTCTCTGGATTCTGGGTCCCTCCACTGGTTTTGCTATGAAGTGTCAAAGCAGTGTTCTCAACCCACTGTGGTTTCATAAGACTAGAGATCTGCTTGGATCATGGAGTTTGGTCTGGATTTCATAAGAAGCATTTATTTTTGTCCTTAACTAAGAACCCAGACAGTTGATTAAAACAGAGAAGCTGGAAAAAAACACTTTTGATTTAGTGAAATAATGATGACTCCCACTTAAGGTGACAGCATCTGCAGTTTTCCACTTTATGGTGACATCCAAGGCCAGTATCAGATGGTCCTTGCAGAAATGCAGGTGTTGATAAAGTGCTGTCTGTGGGACCCTGTGGAGTGTTTGTCAGGTTACTGCTCAGCCACTCAGGTACAAGTCATTTAAATCACATTAATCTGCCAGGGAGCTGATGTGACCTTCACATCCTTACTAGTGCAGAGCCTTTCAGCTCTGCTTGTTATTCCTTTGAGCCATCAGTGTAGCAACTCTAGGTAAATGTTTTTTGGTCCTTTGCTACCTGCTCTGCCCCTCTAGGTAGGGTGGATTGTGGGCAGGAACGAGCTCTTTCTCAGTATTAATTGTCATCACAATGTACTTTTAAATAATAATTAGGTGTAAAAGTCACAAACATTATTCTAATCCCGACTCATTTCTTTTGCTAGAGCTTTTCATTTTGAGGACTTGTCTTAATGTATCCTTCACTGTCAAGACAAACCAAGAAAGCTCTTTCCTTTCACATCTGCCTTTTTTTTTTTTTTTTAATTTGGGCATGTGATTGTCTAATTGCTGTTTATTTTAAGAGCAGAGTGACTTGCCCAGAAAGGATGTGTCTTATCTTTCACATGAATTGGAATTGCCTTTGTCAATTTACTTTGGTGAGGAATGAAGCAGCAGAGTCCTTCTCCTACAATCACAGCTCATTGTTGGAATCCTGCCACTCCAGCCTTGCTTTCTCACTGTGCTGAGTGAAAGCAAAATGTGCTGTGCCTGCTGCTTCTGCCCCTCCCCTGCCCTGGCACAGAGGAGGGGTGGGGACCTCTGTGACTGACTGTGACAATGGTTTTACATTGCAGGAGCCTTCTTCCTCTACGCAGGCTTTGCTGCCTTGGGACTGGTTTTCATCTATGGCTGCCTTCCTGAAACTAAAGGGAAAAAACTGGAGGAAATTGAATCTCTGTTTGAAAACAGGCTATGTACATGTGGTATGTCAGATTCTGATGAAGGGAGGTACATCGAGTATATTCGGGTGAAGGGAAGTAATTACCATCTTTCTGACAATGATGCTTCTGATGTGGAATAATTTTCAGCTGCTGATGTATTTAATCATTTAAAAGCCTTCTGGGGGAAAAGCAGCTCTCTGATGACCTCACTGCCCTGCTTCTGGTCTGGTTCTCCTTTCTACTGTGTATTTAAAAATGCCTTCATGTTCAAAAATGCTCCATTTGGGAGGAAATTCAATATGCTAGCGTTTTCTTGATAACTGAAAGCAATGGCTTCCAAAAGAGATTGAATTCCACAGTTATGTGACTTTACCAAGTGTGTGTGACACTGCTCCACCCCCAGAGGTTTAGTAGGGTGCACTGTACCAGATGAATACAGAAGGCTATCCTAGATGGTCAGGGGCTGTCCTTATCTCCAATACTGACAAAACCTGAAATAATCAAGTGGCTGATGAGAAAGCAGCTGACAGCTGTTGGATCCCCATCCCATAGGAGCCAAGAAAGAAGCTCTGCTGTGCAGTATGACAAAGGATGAATGCATAAGCTGCTGTAATGGTAACCATTTAAAAGGTTTAACTGATTGGGAAAATACAAATACCTGCTGTATCCATCAGAGGGACATTTCCCAAATTTACCCAAAGAGAGAGAATTTCCATTATTTGAGCTAGCAAGTAGAGAGCCATCCTCACCTGGATGGGGGTTCACTAGGGTGGTGTGTGCCTGTGCTACACCAGGTTATCCACCCAGTGCTGCTCCTGAGTACATGCTGCAGTTGGGAGTTGATGTTTGTGAGAAAAACTGCCAAAATTGATTACTGACAGCAAGAAAACAGAGCTCAGTACGTGGCCACACGTACGAATGTACTGGTATATATTGCTAGGTACAGCATAGAGGCTTCAGTTTAAAAAAAATAAATGTTTGCTTTCCTTTTTAGCATTTGAACATATTGGTTTGTGCCTAGTTTTGAACACAAAAATACCATTAGCTAAAAGAAAGAGAGGGAGGGGAGAGGGTTTGTGCTGCTCAATGCACAGTGGTCATCCCTCCTGCGCCTTTTGCTTGTGAAGAATTACTGCCTTCAGTTTATCTCCATATGTGCCGAGTGAATGACTCCCAGCACATTTTTCTTCAAATTTCCATAGTCAATTGGTGTTTTGCTGGATCTAAAGAGAAGTATTAGCCATGGCCAGAAGCCTGCATCTTGTATTAATTGCCTTACCGAAGCATTGCAAACTTGTCAAGAAAATGTCAGGCACAAAACTTACTTGGCTGCCTTTAGCATGGTAATGAAAATATGAATGGTATTTTATTCACCTGCTGTGATTGCTTGCCTTGGCAAATTGAATTTTATGCAGCTACATAAAAATATTATTTGTTTTTTCTTTGTCCTATCCTCACTGCTTTAAGTCTTCAAAGATACGAGTTTGAAAGCATCAACAATTCAAATTCTTATCTTTGAAACATTTGCTTCATGAAAGAATGTGGGAAAATTCCTCTGCCTGTGGACTGACACCCATTTATTTGGTAAAAAATACATTTCTTTTTCATTGTGTAAAGATTAAAGAAGTCATTAGGTTCATTAGCTTTTATAGATTTGGTTTGTGGGTTTTTCTTGGGTTGAAAAATGTTTTTAATGTTGAGTTGCTATCAAAACCAAGCCTGGACATTTTTTACTAAATTATTTTTATTGGATAACATGGGGTTTTGTTGTTGTAAAGAAGTCTGACATAATGTTATCTAATCTTCTGTGGGGGGAGTTCTTATTCTCCAATTATTGACCTTCAGGGATTGGGTGTTTTTTGGTTTTATTTTTTTTTTGGTTTTTTCTTTTTTCTTTTTTTCTTTTTTCTTAATCAGAGAAATATTTTTGGAAAGAAAACATTTTAAAGAATCCTCCTGTGACTTGACTGGGGCTAAAAGGGAAAAAACATAATAGACAGAGGGAATTTCAACTGAATCTTTGCAAAGAGCAGCTCGACCTTGAACGTCTCCTGTGTGGTGAGAGGGCTGGATTCTCATGCCTTCCATCTTGTCTCCCTTTTAAGCGCACAATATTTTTATGCTTGAAAGCACCAGCTGTAGAAAATGCTGAGATCTCCAGATCTATCTATTGCAAATGCTGAGGTCCTCAGACCTCCCTACAAATGCCCCTGGCTGTGGGATGTCTCCCTCTGGCTGTCACCTCTTTGAAACCTTCACTGAAGGTGCAGTACCTGAAATGAGAAAATTAGATACTTGGCACAGAGAGAAGAACAAAATCATTTCAAGGAGAAATTAACTTATTTCTGAAACCAAAAAATGGTGTTTGAGGACCCGAATTGGAAGCACTTTGGTTACCTAGAGCAATGTGTGAATAGGTGTGTAACAGCCAATCTGTACTTACACAGTTTAAGTGGTTTAAGTGGGTATTTTCTGGCTTCTGGGGATGGGGACTTAGGGTTCTGATGGCCCCAAAAAGCACAAGCCCACATTCACCTTCACACCTGTGAACATTCCCTTGCTTGGTGTGTCTGGAGTGGGAGCCAGGTCCCAGCGCCGGCCCCGTGTCAGCGCTGACCTCTCTTGTGTCCACAGGGAGAGGGAAGGTGCAGGGATTGGGCAGAACTGCAGCAAAGTCACTGGAAAGGTCACTGTCACGGGGTCAGCAGCCTCTTCTGTTTTGCAGGCAGTGCTGGGGCTTTTTAGCAGCAGAAGAACCATCCCTCTCTGCCAGCCTTGTTCCATGGACCTTCCCAAAGGGCGCTCAGTTGCGTACAGCGCTGGGCTCATTTTCTCAACACAAGAGAAAACAGTTAAACTTACTGAAAACACTTTTCTGAAGGTTTGTATCCCCTGTCCTTTCTCCCAAGACACAGCAATTGAAACATGCATTTTATTCCTCACTGCTGCTGGCCATGAGGGTACAAAATACATTGGCTTCTTTATGGTCCCTCCCTGTTCTGTGCCTACGGAGAGCGGGATTTAAGTCTTCCTTTCAGGGTTTCTTCACACCAAGAAAGCATTCCATACCTTACAAACACTGAACCAAGCATCGTGTGTATTAAAAATGAGATCAGATACTTCAAATTAATCTTATGCTGTAGGGTTTTATTTTTAGAATCTGTGAACATTTAGAGTTTGTGAAGAAAATTAGAAATATGTTTCTATTTTGCAAATATTTTTTATGTGTATTTTAAGTTTTAAGAGATTTTTGCTAAAGGTAGACTTAGTAACATTGCAGATAAAAGACTAAAAATACAGTGTAACTGAGTAATTTCTTTTTACAATTATTTCATTTATGAAGTAGCATAAATATTATGTCTAAGCACAATATTCTTTCATTGAAAGCTTTTTGCAGAAGATGTGAAATTGTTTCTTCACAAGGACTGCACACTTAATTCAGGTAATCTGTGCATCAGGAGTGTTAGAGTAATACTGCTGGTAGAGTTGGGCATATTGATTATACACAACAATTTGAGATATTTTAATTCTGAATTATCCACCAACTCTATAACTATTATTATTATAATTCTGAATTATCCACTAACTCTATAGTTAGTTGTGAGCTAACACTAACTATAAAAGAAGCAAATCCTGATGCATTTTTAAAAATATTAAAATTTAATTCATGTTAATTTGCATATAGTAGCTTGTTCACCATGCTGAGTAATTTGAGATAATTTGGCACTTTTTTCTTCCCCTTGTCACTTTGTCGATCAAAATAATCTTTTAACAAGAGAAGCAAACCTGTTTTGAAAATAGAGAGAGTCAAAGCAAGGCCCAGGAGCCATTTGGGGGCTGGAGTTCCATTGCTGTGTGGGCACCTTGGATTGGTCACTCTTGTGGACGTTTCCTTGGGAGGTGCAGTGACAATGCTGGCAGAAATGGTGGGGCAAGAAAGGGTGAATCACAAAGGACCATTGTTCCAACACTAACTCATTTTGGGATGGGTTGATAATGCCACATTTGACTTGTGTAGGAGTTAGGGTTGGGAGGGGAGAAGAAGGAAATTATGCACCAAAGGCACCATAAAGTCAAGTTTCAGTAGAGATGGGTGTTGTAGCCAGCAGGAGCAGTCTCTGCTTGTCTCCCTTGTGGGGTGGGGACTGTGCTTGGCCCTGTGGATAGGAATGGAGGGGCTGTCAGGGGAAGAAGCACTCTTGTGTTGCTCTCCCATGCCTGTGTGGAGGTGAGGGCATGGCAGTTGAGTTGGCAAAGTTGTACTTTTTTCCTTGGTGAAATCTCTTTTGCCATTTGTAGTCACTTGGGCTGAGCACAGGGGAGAAGTTTTGACCTTCAGGGGCTGCTACAGGCCCTAAGCAAGGGTCTTGCCTTAGGCCATGCGGTCCCACAGGCATTCAGTGGGCAAGGGAAAGACAGACCCTGTACTTCTCCACTTTTTACCCAGCTTTCTACTTCTTGGTGATGCTCTTCTAACATGGTCATTTTGAAATTTTACTTGCATTGTTGGCTTTGTTGGCTGAACATCACTACTGCAGAAGAGGCAGAATCTTCACAGCAGAGAATGATCTAGGGGTATAAATCAAGGCAGAAGAGATGGTTCTGCAAAGCACTTTAAAGAGTAAGATATCTGTGCACTTTTTTCTGAGAGAATCAAGCTAACTAAACCCATTCCTCTGCATTGGGAAGAGAATCAAGCTTTGTGTACCAGGCCAGAAGCAGATAATGCCACAATATGTGCTTTATGGCAAAATGTGTTTTTATTGCGGGTAACATTTACAGCTTACATGTAGCTGCTGCCTATAAAGTGACTCAATTGTTCTCTGGATTTTAACAAGTCATACTTTTGTGCAAAAATCTTAGTGGTTTTCTATCAATCTTCATCACCTTGTGTACAGTACAGTTAAGCATAATCCACAGTGGTCTAGATTGTGGCAGTGTTTCAAATGTCAGCACAGTAAAATTCTAGGTGAACATTGTTAAAGAAATATTGTTGTTTGTGATACTGGGGGTTAAAATTCCTCAAAGGCAACTATATATAGATTTTAAAAGTCTGAAAAAAAAGGCAGTTCTTATCTATTTTGTGTATGTTTTCATATAGAGAAGGAGTTTTTTATGTGCCAATAACCATCACTGTAGTGTTTTGTAAATGGGTGTTAATAGTGTTGCAGAGTTCTGTATATGAGAATATACTTTAGCCACAATGACCTGTTAGTGTGAACCGTGGCATGTTTTTAATCTTACACCTCTCATCAGAGGTGCTCACTCGTTGGCTTCAGTAGAGCTCACTCATGCCAGGGGAAGTTTGACAAGAGTCAGGCCTCACAATACAGACTTCATCTAAATCCCTGCTTTTTCACATTGTCCCTAGACAGTATGTTACATGTGAATGATCTGGCACATGTAATTTTAAAGCTTCAAATCCAGTTCAGTTAATCTCCTTGTTTTTGTTGAGAAAAATGTTGTCAGAATTTGCTTTGGCCTTTCGTGACATTTATATAAATAAGGAGCATACTGATGAATTACGAATATTGTCCACCTATTTCTAAAGGAACCATCTGTTTCTGAAGTGTTAAAATAAAGGCAAATTTCTCTTGCTGCCTTAAACATTACACAGACTTTGGAGAGGACTGAATGTATGACCATCATCGTGACTTCTGCGGGAGAAACTTCGTGGATGCTCAGCAGGTGTGAAACGAGGCGGTTTCATGGTGCTGGGATGCTCGTTACACTGCAGGCCCTGCCTAGAGCACGCCTGCCATCTGTTTGATTGCCAGTGTTCCAACAGTCCCTGGGAAACTGATGGGATTATCCATGTGCTTGATATTCTCCATGTGCTCAGTGTCCTGCTGGTCCGGGACGTCCCTGGGAAGTGGCACGAGTCATGTCTCTGCTTTCCATTGTGAATCTCACTCCTCTACAAAATGGTTAACTGGATCTTGGTGGGACAAATGCCATCTAGAATATCTGAGACATTACTGGGGACCAAGCTGAGAGTAATAATTCCATGCTGAATAATGTGCACATGGTGCCATCAGGCACACTGTAATCCCTGGGCACAGGTTATGGTATTCAGTACAAAACAGGTTTTGGCAAAACAATTTGCTGGGTTGTCCAAGTCATTTCTTAACCATGTCGAAAATGTGCCATTTCCATTTCCAACCGGTCAAGCCTATAATGTATGAAAGTGTTGTACATTTTCTGAAACTTAAGTGATGTAAAATTATTTAATTGACTTATGATTGCTTTAATGAAGTTTGGTCTTTACATAAAAATAAATATCTTCAAAGAATTGTCAGTGCCAGAAGTGTAAATGAACAAAATAAAAGGTGAGATACTTAATTACAGAATTTTTGTCAAGGTTTCATTTGTTTGAGTATTCAGGTCACCTTTTAGAGTGGCAGCTTCACATTGCTCAGCAAAATGAGCTCAGATAGGCCATGGGTTTGCCTGAAATAAGGGAAGGGTAAGATTAGCTGTGGATATGATCTTAATATGATGTTTTTCAAATCAGAGAATGGTTCTGTGACACCAGGTCTGTCCCTTCCTTTCTGGAGGATTTGTGTGAAGAGCTGAATGCAGATATGCAGAGCTGCCAACTGTCCCAATGTCCCACCATGGGTTTGCAATGTCCTCTGCCCAAGCAGACTCGTTTCCTTACAGCAATTTCCACTGTCAGACTTGATTATGGACTGGGAAAAGAGCAGCAGTTGCTGCTTTCTAATGGTGAACTGTCCTAATTCTGTGTGTTTTATTAAGAAAATTGCTGGAATCAGTTTGATGGCTAAAAAAAGCAGCATGACCGTGCCTGTGCTGTGCTGGGGCTGCCCTGGCTGCACTCCCCAGTGTGACACAGGAATTGCACCCACAAGAACAAATGGAAGATGGTTCTGTTCCATCCACCCAGCACAGGTACCACAGCTGAATCCTGGTGAGATCCAGAGCTGGCTCTGACAGAGCTGTAGCCCCTTGGTCCAGGATGCAGAGAGATCACAGCCAGTGGGGAGAAGCTGGCAGTGGGAGACTGCTTGGCAATCCTGTATCTGTGGCCGTGCATATCTCCATGTGGGGAGCCAGGCAGCTCAGCACTGTGACTGACAGCTTCTCTTTCTAGGTTTCTGGCTGATGGTGCTTATAAAGGTGATGAGTGACTGCAGTTCATATTACTTGTCACCAAAACTACATGGCAGCTTTGTGGGATAATGAAAATCTGGTGGCTCTGCTGTTAAGCACTCAATTTTTTTGCCTTCTGCCATTTGTCTATGCTCCAGCTACTATTACAAAACAACTACTGATGGATTGATTTTTGCCAAATGCATTCTCCCTTGTGTAGAACTGAACTGCAGGCAGTTACAGTAGTTGCTCCAAATCTTTGTGAGCATTTTCAGGATCAGGACTGGGTGATGCTCTATCTGAACTGAAGTCACCCTTAGAGTGCTGTGTGGCCTTTGCTTTGTGCAAGGCACTAAGTGCTTCTTTCAAGGCTTCTACAGTTTGTGGGAGGTAAGTGGGGAACTTAAAGGTCCCTTTTCTCTGATCTCAGTGGTCACCTGGGCTGGTTGAAGGGACCTGCTGCCAGTTGTCCCCTGAGCTGGTGTCCCTCCAGTTCACCCCTCACCCCACAGAGCTCCCTGCACAAACATACTTGGGTGCTTCAGCTGATACAGTTTCACTTCCAGTTGACACAAAATGATTGGCATCTCAGCTCTTCTCCTGATGGACAGTCTAATGCATTCAGCCCATCGAGCAACCAGCTGAGCTCTGTGGAAACCAGACACACACACACTGGCATCAGCACTTCCACAGTCTCATCCTGGGGCTGTTTGTTAGCTGGTCTCCAGGGCAGGTTCTCACTCCCTTGTTTAACATGTGTTACCTACCCCATACCTGCATGTGTGTGTGTGATTGAGAAGGTCTGCATAGTCCTGGAGCTTAGAAAGCTTTTGCTTTTTGAGAGTTTACTGCAGAACTACCAGGAATATTTTCTGCATGTCGATTTTGACAAAAAAATCTGGAGGGCTGTGTGAGTTTAATTTGGTTGGATACTTTTATAGGAGATGTTGTGATCTGGGTTTCAGGAGGATACAAGGATCCATCTGTTTTTCTGATGTATGAAGCCTTTGCCTTAGCCAGCACACTGTGATTTTGGGGGCTGTGATATCCCACGAAAGCTCAGATAGAATCCTTAATGCCAAACAGAAAAGCAGGGGTCATACACAGAGCAGTGAGATGTATTGTGTGAAGGAAGAAAGAGAAGCACACATCCAAAATGACCTGCCCACAGTCTTGTAACACATCAACACCAGCACCACACAGGGGGGACTGAGGTGCCTTTTATTGCAGGTAGAAAATGGCAGGGAAATTAAAGGCTTCCAAAGCAGCCCTGTTCTGTGAATCATTCTTCCACAGATCCTTCCCAAGAACGTACAGATCCTTACAAAGATGCAGGAGTTATGCTCAGTTCAGGAGTGTAGAAGCTGCAGTGCACCTGATGCCAAGGGAGAACATCCCTTGAGGGGACTCAGGTGTGAGAAGGGAAAACAAAGGCCCTCCCACTTTCACAAAAGCAGTGAATCACTGCAGTGTCCATCCCCATTGGAAAGAGAGCTACTTACAAATCAGTAAAGGTGGATAAAGGGGCTGGAGAGGTGGGGAAGATCCATGCCTGAAGGAGCAGTGAGAGTTTGGGGGCCCATCAGGGAGGTGGTGTGAGATACATGAGCAGTTTGAGGGCAGAGGGGGCTGGATTAGCCAAACTTCATAATCAAGGTGATATGTGGAATTGAGAGTGGATCAGGTTGCCACGGCAACATGAGCAGGAAAAAACACAAAGCAAATCCTGAGCAGAGGCTGGGGAAGGAAGGGCATAAGGTGTGGAGGATGGTTAGTGAAGTGTGAGTGTGGGGACATAGTGCCCACAGTGTCTCTGCCACACCACTGCCTGATGTCAGGGGACAGTGTCAAGCTGTCCTGGGTAGAGGGGGGCAAAGTCAGAAGGCAGCACTGGGCTGAGGATGCAGCTAATTCAAGATCTAAATCTCTCTCTAAAAAACAGAGGTTTTTTTTCCCAGGACTCAGATTCATAGGCTTAGTCTTCAATTTTTAATTTTTTTTTTACACTTCTTGAGTGCTGGAGTGCACTTTTTAAATTGTCTAATCTATCAAAACTGCATATATAGAGAGAATTATTCCCCATTTCTATGGCCAGCTCTCTGTTCTCTGCTGTTCTCATCAGTTTGTGCATGGTGACAAGGCACAGGAGCAGGGTGAGCCAAGCCCTGCTCTGCTGGCACATCCTGCCCTTCTCCTTAACATGTGGCATTTTCAGCCTTCCCAGTCCTGCAGCTTTTCCTTCTCAAAACCATCTCCACAGCTGAGGCTGCTGAGACCCTGTGTCCCCATCCAGCTGTCACCAAATCACACATACACATTTTCCACCTGAAGCCTTCACTCAGGGTCACTCAGCAGGGCTGTAGCTGCAAAGGGGCCGTTGGCAGTCACACAAGGAGCTGTCCTGCAAGTGCCAGATGACTTCTTTGTCCGTAAAGTGGCACTTGTGGCCTGCAGCAGGTGGCCAGGTCCCCACTGGGAAGTGGTGCCTTGGAATAAGCATTGCCATGAAATTGGTACTTGTTCTAATATATTCATGGGGAGATGGCATCAAAACTGTCTGGCTGCTCCCAGTGAGCTCCTTCATTGTCAGGATGTGTGGTCAGTGTGCCCTGTCACTGGTTTGTCACAAGATGTGACTGCAGTCAGTCAGTCTCATGCTGTATGGCTTCCCCTGTGCTTTCCCTGGTGTTCAAGGTACCCATAACCTGCAGGTTGGCTGAGGGGGCTGAGGGAGAGGTAGATGCCCCACACAGCTTTGGAACTAAGCTGGAGCTGCTGTCCCCACTGCTCTCCTCTCATGGGCCACTAAAAATGATGGGAAAAAAGTCAAGAGCAAGCAAAGTTTTTGTAAGCTGGGAGAAGGCTAACTGCCACCCCCAGCCTGGTACCAGATGAGATACTTTTTGTATTCTCTCTATGTCAAGCTTCCTTTGGCTGGTGGGATTCACAGGGATACACTGGGGACCCTCACAGTCCCTGGTGGGGGAGTGATGAGTGCCCATAGTTAGTGCAGCCCAAGGCTGCAGGGCTGCTGGAGGAGCTCTGTGGCTGTGCACTCAGGGATGAGCTGGTGTTGGGTGAAACAGCTGCTCTTCATTGCTGCACAGAAATGTGGGTGAGGAGAGGCAAGAGAGGCAGGAGCTGAGCTCTAAGGAGGTGGAGCAGGGCAGGGATGGCAGCAGCAGCACCCAGCCTCCCTCCCCATACACCTACAGCTCCCCCTCCTCCAGCCCAGGCCCCTGCCCTGCTCTCAGCACAGGGAGGAAGTGGCTCAGGCAGGGCTGCCTCCATCAGCAGCAGCTGCTGGGAGCAGGCACAGCTTCCCTGGAGCCCCTTCCTGGCAGGGCTGATTCCCCAGCCCCAGCCTGGGTGTGTGTGATAGCAGCTGGCCATGGCCCCAAGTACCCTGCTCCAGCTGGCCCTGCTGTCAGTGGGGCTTGCACTGGGCAAGCTTGGAGATCCCTGCCAGTTTCAGCTGGCTTGGGGTTCTCCAGAAATTAATTTGTTTGCATGGAGTGCAGCTTCTCTGGGGAGCAAAGCTGCTTACAGATCTCCTGTTTCTCAATAGTGACTCCAGCCCAGGAAATGAAATAAATCTTCTGTAGTAAGAAAGATTGGTCTGTCCTGTGATCAGCCACAGCTCTGGGTCAGGCCAGCACCCATGTGCTGTGTGACACTGGCAGTAAATCACAGCACTCTCTCTGCAAATGGGCACAGATAAATGGTTCATTTGGACATGTTTTCTTTCAGCTCTGTTAAACAATTCAACAGGCCTCTTTCAGCCTCCTGCCTTATCTTGACTCTCTCACTCTCCACCCCTCTGTGTTTGGGCCCCAGATCCCCCATCCCCTCCCACAGAGCAGGTGTACCAGCACCCTCTGCAGCTCTGTGCTGTGTGGGAGCTCACCAGGAGCTGCTCCTGTCACCTTGCACACCCAGAGGGCTGTGGCACCAGAGCAAGCACCATCAGGGTGTGCAGTCACTGCAGAATGCTTGGAGAGGGGGACACGTTCAGCATTCAGCTCAGAGAGTCAGGAGACCTGGCTGGAGCTCCCCATCACCAGCCCTGGAGAAGCAAGCTCTGGTTTGGGTGACTGGGATTGTCACCTCTAACCTCTGAGAGGCTGTCAGGAGAACAGGCTGAAGAAGCATTGCAGAAAGGTCATTGACTTTCATGAGGACAGAGAAGGCACTGAATGCAGAGAGTTAAATGTTTTTTCCAGGAAACCTCATCCTC